ATATAATAAATATTCAAAAATTTTATATAATATTATGAATAAATTTTTAAATAAAAAATTCAATTATCACATTTTATATAATTATAAGGAGGGGGTAATGCTGAATTTCTTTCTATCCGCCGCACTATCACTATCCATTTTCCCAGCGGCGCGCACGGAAGACAATTACCCGCGATGAATTGAAAAAAGAAAAACCGCCGCAACTACTCCAGCACTACATTTATTACCGTCCGATTCGAACGGGCAAGATTCCTCATTCCTGCACCCCTTCACAATTCAAGCACAGATCCAGAAAAATAAAAAATAAAGTAAATAAATATAGAAATGCTGCGCAAGCAAAGCATGCTTCCTTTACATTTCCACCCCTAGGAGATTCTCTCATTTATTCAAATTAATTTGTAAATAAATCCACTCCAGATTACAGGTATCCCACATTTCCATCCATGGAGGTAATTAAGGATATCTTTAATTTGGTTGGTTATATATATTTATTTTTTGCAGAGGATGGAGATGGGGAAGAGGACGTGGAAGATGGAGAGAGCGTTGTGGTTGCTGGTTGTTGTAGTGTTAGCGGTTGTGGTGGCGCCGGCGGAGAGTGCCGGTGAGGTGAAGATAAGGCCAATGCCGGCGTCGGTGAGCTCCGGTGACAAGAGGCTTCACTTGAGTAAGGATTTTGAGCTGTTGACTCAGGGGACTGGCTACAATGATGCTTCGGGGATATTGAAGGATGGTTTCTACAGGACGCTTTCTGTGGTCAATAATGGCCATGTCGTCGACGATAATTTCTCCAATAAGTCATCTCTGCTCAGCGGATTGCACGTTGTGATTTCATCGCCAAACGATCAGGTAATTACATTTCCTTCTTCGAAATTTCAATTTTGTGTTTTTGATATTTCGGGCTTACTTGGGGATTTGCTTTGCAGTTACAATATGGCATTGATGAGTCCTACAAATTAATGGTCCCTTCGCCGGAAAATCAAGCTTATGCCCACCTTGAAGTATTTCCAATTTACCCTTTTTCTTCTATGGTCAATGCTTCTTTTAGGAAATATTCGGTTTTGATTATCGGAAACATACCGGCATGTTTCCTAATTATCAAGTAGTTGGGTTTTTGTCGAGCTTTTAAATAATTCCAGTTTAGCTTTGATATGTTGAAAGATTTCGTTGATCTATTGTAAACTACTCTGGGATTGTTTGACCGTGCTCAGTATAATTTACTTTGACGCTTCAGGGAAAGGGAAAGTGCTTTTTGGAATTAGGTCTGTATTTGTTGGGTCACATGTAGATAATTTTTAAAAAAATTAATTTTCCTTTTCTTTTCTTTTTTCTTTTTTGATATTGGGAGCGGAGGGATTTGACCCCATCTAAGGATGAGGGCATACAGCTTTACTGTTAGGCTACAAATCCTTTTACAAGAGTGTTTCTATGGTCTATTTTCATTGAAATGCGTGAAAGCAAATCAAGTTGGATCATATATTTGGTATTTTACATTTTGAAAAGTACATTGTGCAAAATACTTGATATTTTAGTGAATTGTTGTACGGATATTTTCTTCACACAGGGAAGCTTGCTACCAATGTTGGATCTACTTTGGGAAATTTACTTCGGAAATTTTAACATGTTTCATGTATGGGCATTTAGTTCCCTGTTACCTGACTTCAAAGCAGAATGCATGATTTCAACGTATGTGTTGTGCTTGATGTGTGTATTGACATGCATTGTGGGTCAATGGGCTGGATACTATTTATATTTGATTAATTTATAAACTGAGGCTGCCCAAATTTATTGTGAAACAATGCAGGCAATCACTGTTTATGGAGCTTTACATGGGCTTCAGGTTAGTGCATTAAGTTTATAAATCTTTCCTGTATTTTGGTTATTATAAAAATTTTCAAAATTCCAAACATATTTTGTTATTGATGATTGCAGACATTCTGCCAATTATGCCATTTTAACTTTAAAAGCAGAGCGATTGAAGTTCACATGTCACCTTGGACCATTACTGATCAGCCAAGTTTCTCTTACTGAGGCCTCTTAATTGGTGAGCTGCTGTTATGTTCCCCTTCTATGACATCTTTAAGTGATTAGTCACACAGATTTCTTTGGAAAATATGATGATTATTGCACAATCAGTGACTTGTTCTCTGGTAACTATTATAATTATACGTCTACTTGAGTCATAGGAAAACAATTAAGGAGTTAAGTGGGTGTATTTGCTTTAGCAATGAGCCTTCAAAACTTAAATTACATGTTATTTTGGTACCAATTTTGGACATTTTACATCTTCAGCAGCCAGCGTGGTGAAGTTTTTTATTGATGGTAATTAAACTGTTGATCCACATCTGTTGATCCACATTAAGTTGATTAAAGGATTGGGGGACCAGTTTTCTAATGATATTGTTGTTTGGAATTGCTATACGCTGGGGCCATTAATCTGATTGTTTGACTTGATAAAGGTCCTTTTCCTATCTGTGTTTGACTAAAATTAAAATCTTGTAGATACATCCCGTCACTATCTGCCTTTGCCAGTCATTAAGAATGTTATTGATTCCATGACCTATGCAAAGCTGTTATGTAATACAATCCCAACAATTATGTACTTCTATTTTCTCTACCATAGTTAGCATCCCTTTGCACTCTCAATTATGAATACATATGACATTGCTTTTAATTTCCTTTATTTTGAAGCATGATTCATTGTTCATTTTATGATTTTGACTTTATTTTCAACAAACGCCATAATCCTTTATACATGTAAGTAATTCTCAAAATCAAAGTATAATCTGTCCACCTTCCAATGATTTCTCTTTTAAGAAAGCATCAAAATGGAGTTATCAGCATGAGCCATCTACCCTATGACTTTGTTTAACTAAGATAGCACTCCAACTCAATGAAGGAGCTCAAATGCTGCTCAAATAAACTTTTTTTTTTTTTTTCTTTTTCATATGGTTAGAAAAGTTTGAAATATATGGACTTATCCTAAAAGCTAAGTGGAATGATATTGTTGGTTTACGCAAAGTAGCCCCAGGGGCATCATGTAATTGGTACTTATTTACTGGAATAGTTGCCTTTCTAGAGGTGAGGTAAATTTGGAAGTTTTTAGAGTACATCGCTAAGACACGTTGGGAGGTGAGGGAAAATTTCTTTCCAAGGGATATTTGTGTTTTGGAGCATAGATTCTTAATCATGTGGATATCATCATGATTTTCTATCTCCATGTCATCCCAGAAAGCATTTGCATTCATAACTGACTGCTGAAGATGTTAGGTTAATCAGATTCCCTATTTATTAGTGCCATATTTGTTTGATGAAATTGAATCCTCATAATCTGAGACAAATGATGCCTCACACTTAACATTTAGCTTCCTACTAGCCTTCTTATCTGTTGTTGATGTTATCCAATCAGTCAATTTTTTTTAATCCAAGTATCGTTAAAATTCCTCATATTTTGCTTGCAGTTACAAACATATTCTGACATCATTGTACACCTATATGCAATAATATTTTCTGCTTGCTTTCACACAGAATGTATTGCACTGGCACATTGTAGATACCCAATCCTTCCCGTTGCAGATACCTTCGTATCCAAAGCTGTGGAATGGTGCTTATTCAGCTTCAGAATGATATACAATGGCTGACGCTGCTGAAATTGTGAGTCAAGTGCTTTTGCCACTTGGTTGCACTGAAAGAATACTTATTGTCCTGTCCTCATACATCTTTTGTTCCTGATATGGTGCTTACCAACTGTTGCAGTTATTCCCAAAAACAAGGGATTAACATAATGGCTGAAATTGATGTCCCTGGGCATGCACTCTCCTGGTAGTACTGATTTTTCTAGTCTTAAAGCAGTGTTAGATTTTATTGTTGGTGCATAGACTTCCTTTAACAAAGCAACAGCATATTCAAAATCGTAGATGGAAATGTTCAAATTCTAGAAAAAATATTATTTTACTTTTGTTCATGGTTGTTGTTCCTTGGTATTTTTCACTTGCACTCCTCAAAATGATCTGTCCATCAGTGGTAATGATAACTAAAATTAGAGATTTTAACCATCATTCAAAAGATTGTGAACCTGTGTTTTTTATTCTTTAGGGGGGTTAGCTATCCTGCTTTATGGCCATCAAAGGACTGTCAGCAGCCACTTGATGTCAGTAATGAATTCACTTTTCAAGTGATAGATGGAATTCTTTCAGGTGATCTCATTGGCATAAAAACATAAATGACTGACTCTGCATTGGGTTATATTTCTTTTAATTGGTATATTTTCTTAATAAAATCTACAAAAATGAAGTTAAATTAATGGTATTGATATTTATTTTTTCAGATTTCAGTAAGATCTTTAAATTTAAGTTCATTCATTTGGGAGGTGATGAAGTTAATACAAGTAAGTTCAATATGCTTTGTAATACCCTTCAATAAGTTCAATATACTTTGTAATGCTCGTACAGTCTCACTAATGTAATAATATTTTGTCATGACTATGGTCTATGCTGCTACTATTGACATTTGATGCTAGAGAATGGTTAATATTTTTGTACATTTGATGAGTGGACTATACAGCAAGGTACAGAATAGTTATAGTCCTCTCCTTTCTTAAATCCCTCCCAATCTGCCTCGAGTTTCAAACTTGAACTCTTCAACTTGAAATCTAACCTTTTATCAGTTGAGACACCCTTTGTGGACTAAAGAATAGTTTATTGAAGTACATTCCTTACCAATGTTCTTTAAAATCAGACATTCCACTGATAAGGAAAACTAACCCTAGACATCCTTTTTATTTCCCTTTTTTGTCTCAACTAAAGTTTATTTGATATTTTCTTCCTCTTATAGAAATGAGAGTGTCTCTTTGGGTTTTCCTAAACTTACATAGATGTCAATACAATTTAATATTTTAAACCAATAATTTATTAACATTTGAATTTGCTATTAATTTCAGGTTGCTGGACTGATACTTCACACATAAGCAAATGGTAAGACTAGGAGGACTTCACAAAAGTTCTACACCATCTGAATTCTGAGGTAAACATAAAGGCTCATTTGGTTAGATGGAGTTCATATTCCTTGGTCGAACAAAAAAAATGACATAATTAAGAAACTAAATTAAACCTAAATGTTGATAATTTTTATTAATATTAGGTAAGAAATAAGGAATACATAATCGTTAGGGGAAGTTTTAATTCATATTCCTTTTGCCTTAATTTAGTAGTAAATTATTTCTCAAATTTGCCTTATTTTTATAGTTTGACCAATGAATAACCACTCCTTCCAGCTAGACTGTAAATTACAAAATCCTCCCCAAAATGGTCTATGATTACCCTTTCCCTAAAATTTTGAAAACCAATGCCAACTTCCCTAAAAACCTGCATTTCTCCCTCTTAAAATGCCTAAATAGTAAAAACTTATACATTTATTCACCAAGATGGTAATTAATAATCTCAACAAGGTTTACAGAAAGTGTAATAATAAGGTTCCTTAAAAGTGATTTTGTATTTGTTCTGTGAGAAATATTTTTCTGTTGGATAACAGGGGTATCTAGGCCTTTGGCCTGGGTACTTGCGAACCACTCCATCCACAACAAAGTTCCATCTGAAGTGGCGAGTGTAGCCCAGTGGAATTGTTTGCAGCCAAATGGCAATAAATACTATGAGAAATATTAATACTACTTTCATCAGTGTCATAACCCGATTCTTCATTCAGTATTAATCACAAAATTAATATAAAAAAAACAAAAAAACAAAAAAAAAAGCACAAAAATATAAAAATATGAAATTTTCTCTTTTCTTTGACTAACATATCTTTATTTTGTTTCAGGGGTTATGTGTAAAACGAAATTCAAGACGAAACAGGAAAAGGAAATCAAGACAAGGGACTCAATTGAAGAAATCAAAAGTTTGAGGGTGAAATTCATCAAATTTGCAAACCCAACATCAACCTATTTCAATTGAGCCCACTAAATTATCCAAACCCAAAACCCAAAACCCATTTAAGCCAAAACCCGAAAAAAAAAAGGGGAAATAAAAAATTGGATCTGGAACCTTCTCTTTCCCCATCAATTTGTTTTTTTTCCCGAACAAGCCCGCGCCCTGCACCAGATCCCGGCCTTGCTCTGCACCGCGCCAGCACCCCTGCGCCCCTGCCCTGCACCGAGCCTGCGCCCCGATCAGGCCCAGATTCCCTTGCTCTGCGCCCCCTGCTGCGTTGACCCTGCTGCTGCACCTTTGTCCTTGCAGCCAACCGAGCATGAGACAAACCTGCACCATGTCCTTGCCTTGCCTGCAGGATGACATCACGCTCCAGCTTTCTTGGCTGTTCTGCAGGGCCAGTTTTGGCCTCACCCGATCAACGGTGGAACGAAAAAGAAGAAAAAATTGAAGGGTTTGGATGAGGAGAGAAGAAGGGAGTTAGGGTTTTGTTTGATTGGGTATAAATAGGAAGAACCGGTAAATTGAAGAATGGGGGTTCTCTTTTGGTTGAGGGTTCTCTTTTGGAGGGTTTTTCTTTTCGGAAGAGTTCTCTTGGTTGTTCTTTTTGGTCTGAGTTTGGGATTGCCGGAGGTGATAGCAAGAGAAAGGAGAAAACCGAGCTGATTCCGGCAAGATTCCGGCAATATTTCAGCCTCCTTTTGCTAGGTAATTTCTGAACAGAGGAGCCTTCTGGGAATGATGGTGAAGGAGACGATAGGAGCCTGGTCCCGTGGGTGGGATCCCTCCCATCTGATCTGGATCCATCTTACCCAAAAAGCTCTGCCGTGGGTGTTTTTCTTATTTTGGTTGATGTTTCTGCATCTTTTTGTTTAATGTTCAAGCTTGTACATGTTCCGTTTGAAAATCAATGAAAATCAAAA